AATAATCCTATAAGACCCCTACATGCGTATATTATATCCTGCATATTTCATTTAAATCGTGCAAAATCTTCATTTTTGCACATGAACTGAAAGTTCAATTAAAAATGAACATTCACACACAATTAAACTCTTTGCTCTGATCATAACTTTCGCTCTGGATCAAGTAGCAACTTGAAAACGGCAAGATCTATAGAAAAAACCTGGATCCGAAAGCCCTAAAAATTACATTAAAATCGCACTAAATCCCGATTTTATCAGTTAAAAAGGCTGGCAAAAAATGAACGTTTTTACACGCAACGCCTTATAGTGTTTTCCAATTTAGAAGAAAATTACATTTTCTCATTGTTTTTTCCATTCCCAACCATGACCATCCGAAAATAAAAATTTCCTGATGGACACAGCTGCCAAAAATAAAAGAACCGCTTAGGAAAAAATGTGTCGCTCTTAACATTTCGCTTGTACTTGTGCTCATAACTAGCAAATAATGGATTGCTCCGATATTCGCCACTCAACCGAAAAATCACCTTTCACTCTTCAACAAACAATTGGACATAAAAACAGCAATAAAGCTACAATACTTTAATATTTATTGAATAATTCCTATAAGACCCCTACATGCGTATAATATATCCAGATAACGAATATGAATGTATAATACATATATTAATAGCAAGAGCAATGCATTTTACTCTCTCATGTCAAAACTTTGCCTGCAAAGAAGCGAATATTTACAATAAACATTAATAGAACGCCGTAAGTATTCTAAAAACCGAAGCAATTTAATAGCGGATTAGTCAGTTTCTGCAGTTGAAGCAAATTTTGTTTGGGGCTCCACTTTTAGTCGAGAAGAACAGACACAAAATGGAGCCTGCAAACATGAACATACACAACCTTAAACACCCTAAACTGTTTGCAATAAACATTGATCCATTTAGGCCTGTCTTTTCCTCCTCCTTGTAATAAATCATGACATTTTACACTATCACAATACTAAATTGCAGCAGACGTTAGTTTGAGGCGGTGGAAAAACCACATTCTGAGCACATTTCTTGCATTCAAGCAATCTGGATTCGATCTATGTATACTATTCCGGAGGAGCGGATATATTGCACTCTTACAATCGACCCTAGAGAATAGTTTCAGAGCGAAATCTCCAAAAGTAGCCATTCTCTAGGAAAGCGCCTAAAACGTAAATGGTCTGAACATAATATACACTTTAAATGATGATTTATGCTAATCTTAAATAAATAAACTATGCCGTAGAGTAACTAGGTTCTAGCTTAGGACTAAACAAGTGCAAAAACACGCCTGTGTGACTCGATTGGCTGGCTGGCAGCCCTGATGATGAAGCGAAATATACGGAAACCTGGATCTAAGCGCGAATGTAGCCCACAAGGTAGTTGGGGGGCCGTTTTGAAGTACGATCGACGCGAACTGAAAAATAAATTGGTTTTCATCCCGAAGCAAAAACAAAGACACTGAAAATAAGCAAATTATAAAATAGGCAAGCTAAAATGACCAAATATAAGCGCAGCAATGTTGCGTTTTTTTTTTAATTTTTGGTGAGCATTTAGAGAGATTTCCCAGCCGCTTAGCTGTTCACTGGCATCATGGATTACGCGATCTTAAATCAAATTATTTCGAAATTTTGCGCAACGAAAAACTCGTTTAAAAATGAAACGACCGAAGTAAAAAAGTTGAGCGCTCCCGGTTAATTAGTTTTTGCCCTTACACTTGCACCCAACCAATGAAATAAATTACTTTTTAAAAGTCCTGGCAGATAAACGGAAAAACCTGTGCGGATTTTGGCCTTTTTGCGGAAAACTGAACGAGCGAACGGTGTAATCCCAACATTTATATTCCTTTTTGGGAAAACAACGAATTTTCGCGACGTATCGTCGAAGCAATACATTATTTAGCGGGTGTTTTTACTGCTTCACTTTGCGTCCACATATCAAACATCCCCTTTGTCTTCTTTATGGAAGAACTGGGTTTCTTTGTTTGCTTGCAAAACATTCATTTGCCCAATACGATGGAAAATGAGCGCATTTTTCAATAACTGCGATCGGACGAGTGTTTGTATGTAGCGCAAATGCGACAAAGCGATTTAAGGCAATAAAAACAATTTCCGAATTGAAATAAAACAATCTAGTTAAAAATTTACCATCGCTGGTAAATTGTTTTTAAAAATGTACAACGTATAGCCCAGTGAACTCCGGTCGGTTTGAATTTTTAACGCGACAAAACGACGATGTGGAGTGCAGACGGAAAAATGTACATTTAGGACTGGGAAACGGAAACTCTCGACTCGTATCATATGTAATGTGGAAGTTAAAAGCCCAAATTAGTTAAAAATTAAGCTGGCTCGCAACAGGATGAATGTTTGCAGTAAATAAAACGTGTTTAAAGCAGCGGCGCTGCTGAAAACCCGGATTTTCTATTTTTCCACTTAAGCCGGCGAGTTTATGGCTAAAAACTCTACCACTAAAAAAAAATTAACAACATGAGGGCGGGCGGAACAGCTTGGGGGGGCGTTTTTAATCTCTCTAATGGCAACGAAAAATTTCGAAAGCAAAGAAACAAGCAGAAAAATGAGCCGCAATTCCCATATGTAATTTGAAACTTTATGGAGTTTATTTAGGTAGTGAATGCGTAAAAATATAATATGATAAAACAATCAGCGTGTCGGTTTGGTTGAAAAAACGTGTTGGCTGGCTCGACTGTACTTTATCACATCGGTAAAATGCATAAAATGAGACAAATACAAATTTAAGCTCGAAATGTCGATTTTAACTTACAAAGCCAATAAATAATTGAAATTTTTACACTTCAATCGATACTTCGAGGTTTACCCAACTAATTATATCCCTTTGTAGAAAGCAGCAAAAGTCCCAAAAAGCCACCTAGTTAAAAAGCAAAAAAATGAAAATGAAGCCCAACACCGCCAAAAAAAGCTGCAGCAGCTGAATCTGAAAAAATACATACATCTTCGTACTTTATGAGTCTTCGGTGCTCACTGACTGGTTGATCCCAACCGAGACAGGCGACGTTCTGCGAAAAATCAACATGTTTGATCAATCGTTAGTGGGATTACAAGTTGCAACGTGTTATTAGAACAAGAACAACAACACTAGCGGTTATTTAAAACACACAACAATCAGTTGACGAGGTTAAACGGTAATCGGCGAGTTGGCAAATTTATTTTGCCACTTTTTGAGCATAATCCGAAGCGATCCATTATGACCGCACAATTACTTCGGCGGCTTTGCTTAGAAATGTGATAATGAAGGTAATTCCGTCTTTAATGAATTTCAACGAAGAAAGGTAATTTTGGAGGCTCGTTTATTCGGAGCGAGTTTGAATCCGGTTAAAGTCCCCTTTATCGCAAAAAAGTGGACAAAAGCTGCAGGCAGCAAAAGCAATCAGCTTTCAGAAAAATAAACCGCATAGGAAATGCAACTTTGTTGCTTTCACAAAAAGAGGAAAATATTTCCAATGCAAAAAGAGAGAACAACCCAAATGAATTTCAAGAGGCCAATTAATTCGAATCGCATTCATGCAGCGGTACTTCAATATCGAAATATGAGCATTGGATTTGGAGAAGTCTTTTCAGAGTGCACGAGCCCGAAATGGCCATCTATTTCGACACAAAAGCGTCGAAAAATGAACTTTTAAAAATATTTGCTGGTTTATCTACACGATGTTTCATACCCAACTATTGGACTTTAACAAGTCGATTTGGGTGTTTTGTTGTTTTTAATCGCAAATATCTCGCAAGTAAGCCTGGGTAACTCAATGAATTTTTAAAAGTTGGCGCAAATGGATTGGTGCCAAACCAACGCACCGGCGCAATAACTCGATTTATTTTAACGTTAATTTATTAACAGCGTCGAATTTGGGACAAAAATCTAATATTTTTTCTATCAAAACAAGAACAGAACAAGCGAAAATGCATAATAAATTATTTGGCAAACTCACCCCCATCTCTTTAAAAAAATGTGTTTTTTTAGTTGTGACTGAATGTTTTTCTTGTTTTACTTTCTACTCAAAAACGCTCTATTTTCAAGAGTTTCCTCTGACCAAAAATACTGACAATCTGGAAGTCTTACGCGAAAAATTACAAAATAAATTTATAGCTTTGTAGGAACTTTACAAAAACTTTTTTTCCCGAAAATCATTAAGGTTTTCTCAAAAACCGATTACGAAACTACAAGTTTTTAAGAAAAAGCGCAAAAAAACCGTTATTTTCTGATGTTTGTCTTTTTTTTTGACAATCATGGGGTCTATTTAGCCAACTTACAAAATTAATGTTGTTAGAAAATTGGCCTCATTCATCGCTTTGCTGGAAATTTTCGAAAACCATTTTCAGCTTCGAATTTGGCACAAAAACCAGATAATTTTATTTAGATTTTTTAGCGAATGTAATTAAGATTTTCTTGAAAAAACGACCAGAGCAAAAGTTTCCAAAAAACGATTTGGAAAATTCGCCACCCTTATCGCATCGATTTTTCTGAAAAAGTTTCTTTAAAATTTCGGGTCCTTCCAGTTTTAGCAAACTTTTTATTAAGCAATTCTTTTTTCGCAAAAAAAGCGTTATTTTTTAGTTTTACTTACAAGCACTGACAATCTGCAGGTGTTTTCGGTGAAGAATTATAAAATAAATTTTACAAACTCGCCTCCTTAACAGCTTTGTAAACATGTTTCTAGAACCTTTTGCATCTTCGAATTGCGGACAAAACCTTAATATTTTTTTCTGGATTTTTTCCCAAAAATATTTTCCCGAACAGAACAAGGGAAAGTTTATAATCAATTATTTCGAAGACTCTTGGTCTTCTTTATCGTGTTTTTCGAATATACTGACAATCTGCAGGTATTTTCGGTGAAGAATTATAAAATATATTTTATAAACTCGCCTCGCAGTGAATAATTTGTTTTTTTTTTGTACCGAATTCTTTACTTTTAAGTCAATATTTCTAAACAAAACTCTCTCTAAACAAGAAAAAGCTTTACTGTAAAATACTCGCAAACTGAGTCTTTTGCAAAAAATTTAAGAGATCGATTTTACAAGAAAACTGGTCGGCTTTATATTTGGTCTTCTTTATCGCCTTTTCCGAATACCCGTTTTACCTTTTGGGACAAAATTCAAAAAAGTTGTCTTGTTTTTTTTTGGAAAAAAATAAAGTTTTCGCAAAAAAAGCGACCAAAAAAGGTAAAAGCATATAATCAACTATTGACCCTCATAGCTCTGAAGAATTTGTAAGTTTCTTCAAAATTTCCGGTGTTTCCCGTTTTGGACCAAATATTTTAAGCAATCGTTTTACAGGAAAGCAAACTGGGCGAATTTTTTGGAGTTAGCGCAGCTTGGTGCGCCAATGCAACGCATCGGCGCTGTAACTCAGTGCCGTTGCTTGTAAAACGTTACTCATACAAAATGTGGACGCTTTTTCTAAGATGTTAAACTTCCAGCCTCGGTCCTCGATAAATGAGTTTATAACTCATTGGCCGATGGGTCTCAACTCAAAAACTCACTAACTTAGAGCCAACAACTCAAAGGCGCAACTCAACACAGTGTTACCCAGGCCCACTCGAAAGCAGAGCTCCAGAACAGATATCGAAGCGAATCAAGTCGAACTTTTTGCCTATAAATGCCAGCTCTTTCATATTAACATGGAAAACGCATAAAACAGGATCCATTTTTGAAAAATAGTCATATTTACGCTTTTACGAACCAGTAAAAGCCTTGTATCATCATCAGTCTACGTCCGAATTTGCAGGGTTTTATTTAGGATGCAGCCAAACTTCAGGAGGTGATTTTCGGATGTAAACATCAGCGAAATTAATGCTTTTGAATATACAAGATGTTGAAATAAAAAAGGCGGATTTTGGATGGAACTTAATAATCGTGCTGTCGATACTGTTAAAAATTGTGGTCCTTTAGAACTTAGCCGGGTTTTTAACAGAAAAAATGTGGCTGCTTTTCAATTTTTATATCCTTTCGGATTATTTATATATTATTTTATATATTTAGTATCACTGGAGTTTTTAATCCATGTTCTGGAGACAACGTAATGCTTAATTAACTTTTACAAAACTTCTGAAGTTTGGCGACCTACTCAAATCAATACTTGGGGTAAAACCCCCAAAGAGGCCCTCATTTAACTAATTTTCCAGTAGATTTGAGCAGAATGATCGAACAAACACCTCAAACAGATTACTCTCTAACTCGCTAAACAGTGGCAGCCCTAAGAATTGTTAGTGCGGCAATAACGACGAACACAGACTCTTTGCAGCATGGTTAAGTCGAGCTTTCAGCGACACCAACCGTCTCAAAGTACCTTTTGTTCTTCACTTAATAAGTTGCTTGTTCCGATGATTAAAGAACCTGAACTGCAGTCGCATTTTTAAGTCTTTCCGAACTGTGGGGGTAAACAAAA